AGCTTTTTTTTGTTAACCATTTAAAATGTGTCATACAGTTAGTTTAAAATTGACGTCCTAGTTTCTGCATTCAGTTATGTTGTTATATAACAAATTAGCGTGCGGTGAGAAAATAAATCTTCATAGTGACACAATGAACAAAGACAGTAAGAGAAGACACAATGAATGAAATACATTTTGTGAAAAAAATCAAGATGTTAATGAAGTTAGAATAATGTAATTTGCACTGACTAGTAGTGCTAGGCCTAAATTATCCACAGCAGTACCACTGGCAGCGTACCATGATGGGGATGATCAGGTAGGTAAGTAAGGTAGGTGTGCATGCATTAGACTATGAGGCATCAGCAAAGAGCTTTGCCATGTGGGTGCATGCTAGCTGTTGAGTAAGAATGTGAGTGCCATCAGAGGCAAGAATATCATTGTAAAATACACTTTGAGGAGGAAGCCATAGCTTGGGACACACCGAATGCACAGGCAGATGACAAACAGGAGCCCACCAAATAATTAAAAACTGGGATTGGAGGATCACCAACCTGGCATATCAACTCAAGGAGTCCCGATGGACTGCGATCCCCCTGATTTCTCCGCGAGTACTCATCTCCAACACCAAATGGTAAAGCGTATGTATGGGGAAAAAATGGTGTGCGGGTGTGTGTGTAGGTGTGTAGGTGTGTAGGTGTGTAGAAGTGGGGGTGGTGGGTGGGTTTCGCGAGTAGCAAAGCGGTTGTTGGTGTATTGAAAAATACAGATAAAAAGGTTTTAGGCGGGTCTTCATTTGCATCAGCAATGCACCTGCCACTCCCATGTTTGTTGAAGATGGTATGAGCATGTCATTTGAATTTGTTACATTTTCTTTGACCATATGTCCTTCTGGTTTTAAAATATACCTGAGGAACAAAGGTGGTTTTGTCAAAATAACAATAATAATCTCTGGTATGTTATTTGGACCTTGTGGTTGCTCTTGTTATATGGATGTCTGTCCCATCAGTTCCTAATAAAGGACACCTCTGGCTCCCAGGGGCCAAAGTCTGGCTACTGTTCTGTCAGTAACCTCAGTCTCCAGCCAGCCAGCTATCCTGGCCTGAGCTACTGCCAGGAGGAGAGACCAAGAAGAGGAGGAAAGAACACCGACTCTCCCAAAGAGGCAGGACAGATGCCAAAGTAATTCCACAACATGTGCTGACATTAAACATTACTGCATATTAACTTTCCATATGTATTGCAACTCAGCGTTTTTGCGAATGCCCGCAAAGAAGCCCTAGAAAGGCTCTTTGTCTTTGTGCTGTCTGAGGATTAATTTGCTATTCTCGTATTTCATCTTTCCATTCCGTTAGTGGAGATATGTGAGAGTAGACGGTAGACTCCTCTCCCCCCGCCAGAGAGCTTTCAAAGGGGAAAAAATCAGAGGGTTTCCATACCATATTTCCGTATTTGCCATTATTTTGGACTGAAATGTTTGCATATGAAATTACATGTCAGTTTCTGTCAAAATGACTGACAGGTTGTTAACAGTCTATGACATATTACTATTGTGACATGTACAGCCAAATATTTTAACAGCTACAAAAAAAAAGTAATATATACTCACAAAATCAGAGTTAGGATGTAAAGTCATTCAAACGTGTCACTTAAGCAACTTTTCAAGCACTTTCAATTTATTACACTTCCTACCAACACAATTGCAGTACTGCCTCTATAATGCAACACTGTTCTGAATGAATACTTTCACTTTTGTTACCTTTTACATGTTTTTAATGTTGAATGCAGTTTAAACTTTTTGATGTATTTCAAATGATTGGGCTCACCTTCCACTATTGTACTATTATGTTGTTTCACAAGTAATTTAATGACTTAGAACGCTGTACTTACTGTTGAAGACACACACTAAAAAAACTCTGCAGAGAGATTTACACAGGTTTACAAGATTAAATTACAACGTTGGCATAATCATAATAACTTCAAAATATATGATCTAGCATTTCAATGCCTAATTACCAAGGACATGGCAATGGTCCAAATGTTGCTTTGGAAAAAGTGCAGAGGTTTGCTGTCATAAAATCGAAACAGCAACAGTTCTGCTAAAACATTTGGGGGGAAACATTTAGCCATAAAATTACTTTTGTTCTACTCTGTGCCCCGTTGTTTAATGCATTTAATTAGAAATTGGAAATGAAATAAACGTTAGTGTGCTCAGTTTCTTATATTTGCCAAATCTGAATGAGAAAATTGCTCCTGAATTATTGGTTTAAACCATCTAAATTACAGTCTAAATAAAAGAAAATTAGATCTCGATTTGGACTTTACATCAAAGCCTATAATGAGTCCTGACAGATAAATCTGACAGAATACGCTACAAACGAGGGATAAAAGCATGAACATCATCAAGGAATCAGTCAGCAGTCCAAGAGCCACATAGTCAAAAAGCATACACATGAAATAAGAATAACTTTATTCAGTTTATCAATACAGTGAGTTCACTGTCTATGTGATGACATTAAAGTAAAAGACTAATCCCTGTAACATAGATAAGTGAAAGAAGAGAAGCAGGAGGTAGAGACAGAGTGGGATAGTGTATGTAAGTGGACGGAGGCCAGTTGGTTTTATTTACCTTGAGCATCTATGGAGGATAACAGGGCTGCAACAAAGGCAGCTGTGGCCAGAGACAGCCCTATCTTCATGTTTGGCCCTTGAGGGTCAGCAGTGCATCAACCAGTCTGAGGACAAAGAGAGAAAATATGTTGAAGCTGCAGATCTAAGACACAGCTCACTTTGTCTGTGTAGTGGGACTATAAGCACCACATGCAGGGGATAAATGTCTGATTTACTGCTGTGTCAGCATGGCCGTTTTAGACTGAAGAATGTCCAGTCTGACTTTCACTAAAAGTACATAATGTACTTAATATTGATAGCAGTTATTATTTAATCATTACTTTTCATAATGACTAAAACTATAAAATCCATCTAGACGTCCTTACACAACAAGAGCCACACCTTGCTACCTCCAGCTGACGCCCGCACCCTGGGGTGATTAATACTGAGTGATATACTGTAGGTATTTATATAATGGGGTGCTGGAAAAAAAAACATGTAACCACATATTGTTTGATCCTCATATGCATAAAGTAGAAATCCATTACCCTCTAGCTGTCCTGATCATTTTGGTGGCTCACTATGCAGCTCACTACATACAGTACAGTCTTACTTATGGCTCTCATTCACTTTAGTCCCACAGGGACCTTATAAGGTCACCAAAACTCAGTCTGTGATATCATATGGTACATAAAGGTATTTTTTAGGTATTTGATTGTATAATGTATGACTTGATTGCAGTCCCTTTTGTACAAAGTAAATATTTTTGTATGTTTGAAACTGCCTCTGTAACTCATGTCCTTGGCTCTGACTAAATCTATTTCTTTATGAATGGGTTAGAATCAATCAGCCCACAGCAGTCAGTCAAAGACTATGGATCTTATATGGACTCTCCTTATATCACAAGCGGACTTAAATAGATTGTTTCTATGTAATCATTAGTTCATCTGAAATTGAATAATCTCATGCGATGTGGTAACAGTTTTTTCCTGAAGGATAAGTAGACCACATCCACACAATACAGTCTGAGCTCTTTACCGCAGGCTGCGCGCCCCGCCTGGTGCACAGGCACGAAAACTGCAGCTGCAGGGGCTGAAATTACTGTTGGCCCCTCGGACGCAATTGGAGCTCATCTAATTAAAATTAGGCTACTAAACTACACATTGAGCACAATATCTATGCCTGCCTTGCAACTAAAACACTTATGATGGTTTGCAAACAAATGGCTTGCCGTTGCATTTTCATTCAGTTCAGTTCAATGGAGTGATTGAGCGTCTAATCTACAAAATGTAATTTATCTTTTTTAAAAACTGTTAAAAAAGTTATGTTGTAAGGAGAGTTCATGTTTTTTTTTTAATGCATCTGACTGATCAAACTTTTGCAAAACGCACTAAAGTACAAAACTGCGACAAAAATGACGATATTCTCTAATTTATTGAAATATAAATGAGTTATTTATTTTGAAAAAAAAATCTAAAATGGCAAAATAAGTCATTTATAAATAAATAAAAGTTGGTCTACTCACTTATTCAGCCCTTCAAAAAAAATGAACCGACCAAGTGTCAGAGCAGCCTGCTTGAAGCCTCCCCCTCTGGAAAGTAAGAGCAAATTTCAGGAGCTGCGGCTGGACCCCTCTCTCCTCTCTCTGGCTACTGGAAGCTCCGCCAGCAGATGTCCAAGAAGGAAAAGCCTCTTTCCAAGTGGGAAGAATCTTTCCACCATCGGCTACTTAACAGGGGGGGCAGTTCCTAACTCTCAGTTTACCATCATATGGGCTTCTTACGAAACTGCATGTCGGTTGATGTATGTCCCCCGCTAAGACCGATCCACTGTTTGGAAATGACATTTTTCCCTGCATTCCTTTGGTCTGGTGATTTAATGAGTTTCCAGTGCCAGTGTGACGTTACAGCGGGGTCACTGTTGGCCAGACAGCACTGGGGAGGGAAGTGTTTCATATGCGCAACCAGGAACCTCATCCAGTTTGTTTACTCACATGTAAACTGATATCAAAGTTGACGTTTTCGTTTTATAAACAGAGAACTGCTGACTCTTGGTTACAGACCCTGGCTGCTCCACACAGTGCGTTCAAGAAGTTTAACCACGTTAGGCCCTTTATTTTTTGCCCTTTATATTTTATTTTTGCTGGGAAAAGAGATTTCAGTCTACCCTGCTGCTGACTGCCACTATGAGATACTTAACTGATTGGTTTATGGTGCCCCCTAGTGCTCAAACCAGAGACCTACACTACATACAAATTTGGATTGATGAGGGGAAAGTCAATCCAGTCCCCTGCTAAACTCAGATTCTGGATGAAGAACAATATAATATAATAATAACAATAATAACTCAATATGAGTCCTAATGTCAAAATGTACCAAATATCTAATATTAAATCAAGTGACACAATTCAATGAGATAGATACATTTTTATTATTATTTGCAGCTCATGATTTGTACAATCAATAAATATTCATTTCAAACATTAAAAATACTGATATTATTGATAGGACAAATAATTTCCCAGATTACCAATCTGCACAACAGAGTTGATGAATTGCACACAGCATGTGCATGCTTGTTTCATCAGATGATAAATCCCAATTTGCCAATCCCCTGTGTCACTGTGGCTTCTTGGGCATTGCAGCACTAAACAGCTCATACACAACATACCCACTCCCTGTGAAGAGACAAGAATTACAGATTGTGACGATACAACACAAACTAATTATCCTGACTTCAAACAAGCCTTGATGAGGCATTGTTAAATTACAGTCATTTTACTTTCAAAGCAAGTTTCAGCAACAACACTGGGGTCAAGTCACTGGAATGAAATGTGTTTTTATCCAAAAGACAGACTGAGACATCTGGAGTGAGCCTGACTCATCAAATCTGAGACAAATGCTGACATACCAAACACAGTTAGAGCCATTGTGGTTCTGTAGAGCACAGCATCCTTTGACCCGCCCTTCAGATGGATAGGAATACCGTCGTCCTCCTGGCCAAAGAGCAAACAATGAAGTTATAAAAATAGTTATCTTAAAATAGACATCCCTACTTCAAACGTACCTGAAGGACTTTTAACTTCACGTGTTTCTGTTTCTAGGGAATTCAATATATTTTTGTAGCGCTCATCTTTGGTTAACCACCATAGCAATTAAGTGGTGGCGTACAATACACTACGCAATGAAGCAGTGCTTGCTCTGGCATTTAGAAGCGAGGGTAGGCCATTTGTCAACTATGGCTACAGTAATTTCTAGCGCTATGCAAGGATCAGCAAAGCCTGCCACATTGGAACGTTGATTATGTAATGGATTATTAATTAGAAGCTTGCAAGTGTAATTAGTATAACTCCAGCCTCAGCTACAGTTGAAGGTCATTTAAACATTATAGGGTGGAAATCCACTGATACTTATCTGTGCGGCTACAAATTAGATTCTGTCTCCAGAACCTGGGAATAAAGGAGACACTTTAACATTATCTTTAACAGCATAAAAAGATCTGATTCTTTGTCTCACTCTTAACACTGACAAATGAAAACAAAGTGTATATAAGACTACTCCCGTGGCTTCTGAAACACTGTTACACACATCAGATGGGATACTGATGGGATCATACGTTTCACAGACGTCATCCTATTCCTCAAAGAGGTTAATCCTACCTGAAACAGTTTTTGTTTGTCCTTCACAGTGTTATCAATCTGTCTGCGGGCACTGCTGGTGATGGTCCGCCTGGAAAGCTGCTGAAGTCTCTGGTGGTACAAACACTTGATTGAGGATTTTATACTTATAAACTTTATAATGTATGTGTGAAAAACAGGGGTAAAACGGTGTAAAGAACTCATTTAAACTGAAACAGTATGAGAAAGTGAACTGACACAAAATACACCAAGTGACACAAAGTTGGCAAAGTTTCAATGACCGTTTAGCAAGCGGACTCAACTAGTGATGGGGGAAAGTACTGTTTCTGTATCACTGAACCACTTTGAAGCAAGTGTGCTAAAAACTGCTGCTTCTTTCAGAGCGTTTGATAGTGGCAGTGGTGACACCTGCTGGCCAAACCTACGTATTACATTTAAATGCAAGACTGAAAGTCAAAACAGAGGTCAACTCACTGCTGTCATGTAATCTAAGTAGTTCAAGTGGTACTATAATCACTCAATGCATTTATGTTAAACATAATTGAACGGTAGTTATTGGTTTGGCAAAAGGGTTTAAGTTGCTTGATTTAGCAAAAAAAAACCGTGGATGGATCCCCTTCTATTCGAGCCTGTATGTTGATTTAGGACTGACCTCACCTGAAACCTCAAACTTAACCTGGTTTTTTTTTTCTACTGGTGATCAGGTCTTTCTTGCTAAATTGAAGCGAAGCCATCGATACACGTTTTAAATACCTTGTCGAGTATTCACTTCGTTAACCAACTTCAACCTGACTGGCGTTAATAGTCGACTTGTTGCTCAACAGAGCAGGTAGCTGGCGTCCTGTCAAACACTATGTTTAAGTCATAAACAGGCAATAACAACAGCAATGAGCGACAATAATATCTGTCCTGAATTAAATAACTAACATTATTATTTGCCCTCAACTGCTAGCTTGGTAGCTAAGTTGCGTTTGAAAAGTTTAGCTAGGGACTGTTACTCGTTATTTAGGACTTTATGTATAATAACCAACCAATAAGGCTTTAATGGCAAAACTGTATTGTCTGATAGTCATTACAACAGATTAAACTTCTCTCTTACCATGAGTTGTCTGTACATTTTGGCAAACTTCTGTTATGTCTAGCTAGGAGGTAAAGTCACAGCACAAGGACGGACACCGCGAGTCTGACTTCCCACAATCCCTTTGGGCCTGTCACATCCGGTCGCGTGAGCTTGTTATTATTAATAATAATAATAATAATTATAAAGATTATGAGGTGGTAAACATTAATAATAAAGTAGTGGCTGTGATATGGTAGCAGTCAGAGTAGAGATTTGCAATAACACATAATGACACCAATACATTCACCAAGTTGTTTAATTGGACCCTAAAAACTTTATAAAACCCAGGAATTTCAAATTTAACCAATATGCTCATTATTAATAGATCAAGAAAGCAATATTGTAACAGAAGTGAAACAAGGGGAAACAAATGTGACACTTTTAAAGTGCATATCATTTGGTCAACATTGAAGAACGTAAAAGAACTTATTACGCAGGCCAAACTGAACTGTAAAAACAAGACAGACTTTTTGTGCTCTAATCAACCTTAGTCTTATAATAGAATACTTGATATAGTGGCGTAGGGTTATGTTTCTATTACGAAGCATTATATATGAAAAAGATGCCTCGTGACTGGCTCAATCTCTTTATACAACCAATCACAGTGGAGGGTAGAAAACCACACTTTTGGTAGAACTCTGAGTATTCTATGACTCTTCAAGGTTAAAACACTGCTTGTTAAACATCAATGCTTACCATGATAAACAGCACACGAGCAATGATTATCACATACTATATTCAAGGTAATCTCAAAAACCACAGAGGTATGTCATGAAATATAATGGTACATTCATCAGCAGGACATATTACAGTACATAATATGGACATAAACTTGCATTACAAATACATACATCCTTCAATAATTAAGCCATTCGCAAAGCACTGCTAAAATAAAACAGATACTTCGATATTGTATAGATAAATAAAAGATAAAAACTTTCTTCTGAAGACAGGAAACGACATTCTTAGCAGCTGACTCGAAGCTGTATGCACACAAGACACAGACTGTAGCATTCTTCTTCCTACACATAAACACAGCTTTTGATGAAAACACATGACAGACAATTACAGAGACCAGTGTATCACGCTAAAAATCAAACAAGCAGTCCAGAGCGAACCTTTTAGGGCCACCCATGCATGCAGAGGCAGGAAAACGCGATACGGTTTAGTTTGGAATATCTGCACTGTTGCTGCGGGTGTCATATTTGTGGTGGATGATGAGCAGAACCACACCCAGGAAGAAGCAGATGGAGCCCACGGTGATGTAGGCAATGCCAAGGAAGGGGTTCTTGCCTCCCATCCAGGAGATGGTGCTCAGGATCATCCGCTTGCGACCATCAAAGCTGAGCACAGGGTAATCTGATTACAAATGGTTAAAGACAAACGACTGGAGCTTCTGGATGGAGAGAAAAAGTACATTTGACGACAGCCTACACATCAACTTTTAATATAGATATATCTACTGCACTAAGAAAAGGGAAAGTGCTGAGAGAGGAACAAAAGATATTTTCACTGAAAGTCAGTTAGCAATGAATTTAACTATCATCCAATCATTGTTTAGGTACATTATTTGCTTTTAAATGGTCAACAATGTCACACTAGTTCTGTAGAGTTACACTAGTTTTAGTACAACTATTTTTATTACCTGCTGGTTTTAGGGCCTTGTAAGATGTGTCTGGACATGACTCGTAAGAAATAGTAATCTTAAACTAGTAATCTTATCCTGTGAAGCTTTATATAAGGAAATAAAAATCATACTTGCCAACCCAACAGCCTAAGGCTAACTCTAGTTTTGACTGTGCAGTAGAGTTTCTGGCTACAATTCAAAGGATACTGTAAGTGATCTCCAACACGTATTTTCCACTGGGCAGAGTGGGAGTCGTGTTGGACTTCTTCTGGATGATCCGATAGAGCTTGCGAAAGGTGGGCAACGCAGCCGTGCGCATCCACACGATGAAGTCCTCGTTGATAAAGCCGTTGTTGTCAGGATCTGAAGGGTCCAACTCATACACTGGCTTCCTCCAGTTCACCGGCTTATTTGTGCCTGAAAAACAAGACAAAACAAGCTAGACATTGCAACATAAATGTTTGTTAAGTTTAATAAATCCTGTGCAGGGTTTGCTAAAATCACCTTGGAAAGCTGCAGTGAGGTTTTCACCAGGATTCCTGAACTTCACATGCTTGTCTGTCCACCAGGCAATGCCCTTCTTTACCAGAGGAATTGTATTTCTAGTGTTATTGGAATCAATATGATACAGCTCCAGAGTGTCTGAAAATAAAGAAACATTCAATTCAATATTGTTGCATTGAGTAAATATTAGTGTTTTAGTAGGAGTTTAAATTATCAGATAAAACTTGAACCCATGTATAGCAATGATCCTTACACTGCTGAAGAAAAATATAAAGTGGTTCTTTATGTCTCACTTACCATTGAAAAGGCTGTTAGCTATGGCCCCACATGGAGCGATGGGCAGTCCATCACTTGTGCGGTACGGTTCGCATTCCTTGCTGGGGTTCTGTAAAAAGCAACCAGTATTAACTTGCTACAAAAGGCATTTATTGAAATCTCTGCATGTTATAACATTTCCAAGATTATACCTTCAAAGCAGACTGGTCACCATTCAGTTGGCTGTCATCCCTGGACTTTACATAGCGTCTGTGGTTCTGATAGAAGTTGGATAAGCCGTAGTACATGAAGACATTGCTCTGCAGGGGAGGAGAGATCGTGTTATAGACAGAGTATCAGTAAAGGTAAGGAAGTACTTCAGTAAGGTGACACTTCCTCGTTCTTTGGATAATCAGCTCTTAGTTTACCATACACAGAACTTAATTTGCATGCATCAGATGAAGGTTTGTTCTTGTTCTCAGATGAGGTGGATGTCATTTTACACCAGTTGGACTTTAGTTGACACTAAAAATTGCATTATGCTAAATTATAGCCCAAATCTAAGCTTTGCCTTGTGACACTGGTTTGGTTCCGGAAACTGGCTGAGAGGCTTTTAAAAGAAATCAATAAAAGCCTTCTGAAAGATGCTGGGCTAAAGATTTGCAGGCTAGAATGATCGATGATAATGACGGCTCCAAACAAACCTCGACTGTCTTTGGACTTAAAATAGATCTTAATGGACATCACGTGCGAGGAGGGTAGTTATTTGTCTTTTATTGCACTTCAAGCAACGCTTTCAGTTCAGTTCAAGGCATATATTATTCATAGGGTCGGCATACTGTAAGCTGGTGCTCACCTCAAATGGCTGCTCCAATGTGAAGTTCATAGAGCAGACACATGGTGTTGTGCTGTTCCAGCTGAAGTTCTTGGCACAGCTGTAGCATGGATTGGAAATGTCGACACCAGTGTAATCAATCTGAAAATTAGGAGCCGATTAGTTACAAAATTGCAGAATTGAACATATTTGATGCACATAGACAAACTAAATGCATACTTATACATTCAAACTTAGTGGGCACTTTAATCAGTAAAAATAGACAAAAATAATTCAGTCTAATGCAACAGACCTGCAATAAATTCCACTTTTATTAAGGCTTTTGTTTAAACTGTCTTTAAGAGGTGTTGGTTTAACTTAAAAGGTCATTTCGGAGGCTGTAGATTTTTCTAATATGTTGGTTAACCTATTGGTCAAAGTGGGATGTTACAATAAAAGGGGTTTCTAATATTTTGTATACACTCACTGATATAGATGGGATGTTATACTGAGAAGTGTTTCTGAAATGTTAACACAATATAGAGGCGTTTATAACATTTTTATATAAATGTGTGGACAAAATACTTGAAACCCTCATTATACTTCAATATAATTAAATAAGACCACTAACACCAGCTTCCAAATCGCCATAAAGTTCAATCAACACCTTTAAAAAACGAGCAATAACTGAATATTATTATTATATTATTAGTTTTAGCGAGTTAGTTGCTAGCAACTTAATAAACTGACAGCTGAGTGTATACGGTCATTTCAATGAGCTTAACTTTATTCAGAAATATAGCAAACTGCGGGTGTGTGGTTGTTTGTGGTAACACAACAGGTTTACAAGTCAACCAGGTTACAGTTAAGTTAGTACATGGCTTGCTGTCGCCTCTTAGTTAACAGTTAACAACAGTAACCACGGTTGAAAGGGACTGAGTAGAAAAACCTAGTCGAAGCTAGTGGGTGTAAAGTTAGCAAGCATTAGCTAACAGCTGTCAGAAGACCGTACCTCGAACTCTTTGATGTTGTTAGACGAGACGTACAGGCCGATGCCGATGGGGATGAAGATGAGACCGATAACGAAAAAAGCAGGCAGCACGGTGCCTGCCGTCAGGATGGGCTGCCAGGCTGGTAGTCTCTGCTGCTTGAACGCTGTGTTGTCGGGCTTTTTACTTTTCACAACCCCTGCGGCTCCGTGACTCGAAGCACCCGAGTGGTGTCCGTCCTCTTCCTTAGCGTTGTAGCTTGTCGCCATCATGGCTGCAATCCGCTTCGAGCTAAAATAATCTACCGTAGTTGACAGGCGACAGTTCCTACTTAATCCCACACGGTAAACAAGAGACAAACACTGTGCAACGTGTAAAAGTGTCTAAGGAGTGACATTTACCCTTTTTCTAATCCAAATATCCACTCATTGTAGTATTGATGTTGATCTGTCTTGTTAATCTCACCCGAGGAAGAAGCCGGAAGCTTCTGAGCCAATAGGATAATGATACGTAGTTGTTACATCATGGCAGAAAATGAACACGCCCCTTTCTCGCGTTGTTTGTTTTGGACAAACATCTGATGCTAAATGTAAAGATCTGTGTTAGTAACACCGGTTAAAAATGGAAGTATGGAAGCAAAAAAGACATTTTGACAACTGGAAACCCAATTAGTAATCTTATTTACAGCATTCAGTTTGAGAACCATATGCCTAACAGAAGTTACATCAGGTAATTTCAAATCATGCAAGTATAAAACTTGATTTAACATGACTATGTATATATTATTGTATTTTGTTTTACAAATTCAGACAGAAAATTCAGTTAAAAAAATAAAGTGAAATTCAGTCAGGCACCAAAATTTAAGATTTCAAACTTCAACATTTGGACTACCAAGGTTAATCAACTGAGCCTGAATGAAAATGATCAAACCATTGTCATATAATCGAGGACAGAGAAGATAAAATAAGAGACTGGAAACAAACAAAACATAGGGGTAAAAGAAAGAAATCTAGTTGTTTAGTTTTATTTATAACTTGAGATTACCTTCTGCAACTTTAAAGAGCGGAATTTAAACAACATAAACACAGATACATGGTTTTCAAAGCATAGCCCTTCCAATGTTATACATTCAGTAGTTTAAATACAATTGTGTATGAGTGTCCCTAATTATTCCTATAATTATACAATTGTTTTAATCCAGTCAGTTATTTATCTTATATAATCATTTAATTGTATTTTAAAGTTCTCTGTAAATCACTTTGGTTAACACCTACAATCTAAATATTAGATTGTTGTGGCTTTTCATTGCTGTCATATACAAGTAAAATATTTTCACTTTATCAGAAATTATATGGAAATTTCTTGAAGATTATTTGAATTAGTACATTGAGTTTATGCGTCAATACATTTGATATCTGAAAAGAAAATGGGGCTCACATTTAACAATTCCATTGGTCTATGACTGCATTGTCCAGTGTAGCATCTGGGAATAAAGTACTGGCTACGTAATGTTGTAAAATAGCGACTAACTATAAGTACACAGATCAAAAAGTCATATACAGGTCTGACCTGTTTGCAAAGTTGAACGGAACTCTGTGTCTTTGTTGAATATTTGTGTTTCTAATTTCCTATACAGTAAATGAGCATGTCACACTACTCTTTGAAATCACATTTATTTAAAATACGTTTCAGTACAAATCCTTTACAGAAAAAATAAACATAATTTACATAAAAACTAGTATTTTGACTTATACTGCGTCCTTATAAAATATTATTAACAAACTCCTTATGTGAGACAACCACTCAAAGCAAGAAGCAGTTAGTAGCAGCACGGTCTGATATAATATTTAACCCAAATGCCCATCACAATGCACACTGTAAATACAATAAATATGTTTATATATAAATGGCAGAAATGGATATGAGACAGACAAGTACAAAAGATTTTACAAAAATGAGAAATCAATGGCTAATTACAAAAATGCCTCTATGCTTCGTAATGTATAGCTGAGTTGTATAGAGACATGAGAGTGCTGTCGTAATCTCTTTGAAGCACCTTAGATATGTTGTATTTTGTAAGTGTTGGGTTGCTACTATGATGCAAGTCAGGCTTTTCCTCCATTTTGTAAAGTATTGCTATTCACTGTGGATTTTTTAACTTCTATCCTCATAGACTGACTCTCAGCTCGTGACTCCAGCTTCATTCCACCCGAGATCCCCAGTGATCCCAGCACAGCCTTCCCGGTCTTCAGGCTCTTGGACATTGGGATGCGGGTCAGCCCTGTGCGTGGTGGCTGGGCATCATGCCCAGTCTGTTGACAATAGGGAGAAAGAGAGAGTACAGTTTCTCAGGCAGAAGAATGAAGACAGGGCAGCACTTATGGGGAGCATGTAGAGTAAATATGGAAAAGGGGCAAAACCCATTACAGGAAAAAAGGAATTCTGAATTTCTAAACAATGTAACTGATCATATGTGCTATGGGAACGGTGCAAATGAAAAATGTAAATATTTATTCATTTTTTCTCTTGAATCCCAGTGTGTAAGCACTTGTCCAGGCTAGGTTTCAGTGTGCTGTTACTGGTGCAAGGCTGTTTTGTGTCAGCCAGAGGGCACTGAGCCCTGCATGGCAGTTTGTGAATGTAAACACTGAGTAAAAACTATAAATTACAGCATGATTGTAGCAGAGTGGCAAAATGCCACATCATTAGTCCTGCCGTTCTGAGGCCTGCCCATAGGGCCATTTCTGTCACGCTATCCATCTGATCCACAAAGAGCATATTATAAGGGCCACTGAAACACTAATACAGTGTTACTTCATCTCCCATTCTTAGCTTGTGAGATGAAGCTGTTATTGAAAATATTTACCTTATGAAACACCACATGTTTAACATAGAATATAAAACCATCGTTGAATAAAAATGATGCATGTTCAACATTTTGAAAAATTGGAAATAAGCTTATTCACCTTCTGTCTGAGAGTTATGCAAGAATATCAATACCTCTCTCATGTCTGTACGCTAAGCCTACAACCAGCAGCTGGTTAGCTTAGCTTAGCACAAAGACTGGAAACAGGTTGAAACAGCTAGCTTTGTTCTGTTCAGAGGTTACAAAATCCTCCTACCATCATTTTTTAAGATATAACACATCATATCTTATTTGTATATATTGTATTGTTATCAGTGGAGCCTGGCACATAACCTACGGTTAAACTTTTAAATGAATTATTAAATTAAACAAGTTGGCAGATATGGTTACCTATTTACAGAGCTAGGCAAGCTTTTTCTGCTGTTTGTCTTTGTGCTAATCTAATTTTAAAGCGTTCTGACTGTATTTTGTTGGGGAATTGTTAACCCCAACAAAATAGATTTGAGATACCTCAACCTATGATGGATGAGAAAAGTCAATACAGCCGGGCGTGAATGGAATTTTCATTGGTACTACTTTTGACCAAATATAGATTTTATGGATTTCTTTATTGGTTACTTTTAATGAACTGTTAGCAGCAATCTCTGTGGATTATCGAGAGTAAATTGCTGTTGGGCAGGTATCATAAAGAATGGATGGACTAAACCAAAGCTATCTATAGGAAAACATGTAATTACATAATGTGATGAACTGAAACTTACCATGCTTTGTGCGGGTCTGGAAGTGGTGGATGTGACAGGGGAAATTGTGATACTGCTCATCACTTTGCTCTGTGTGCTCCTGGTAGCAGTGGTGGTGATTTGGCGGGGGGAGCGTAAAACTGTCCCAGTCGATAAGGTCATTTCCTTGCCATCTGCCACCGGCCTGACTACCATCTTTGGGGTGATGCTGTTGCTTAGATGAATATGGATCTTGTTATCGTCAGTGGTGGTGATGAAGCTATTGTTGTGGCCCTTTCGTATTGGCATTGGGACCATCTGCTTCTCAGGGGTAACCTTGAACACAGCTCGGCCCATGGTCATCTCCTGGGGTTCTGGGGAGGCAGATGCTTCAGGCACTATAGCAGTGCTCACTGTCATTACAGAGACAGGGGACAAGGGCCTTCCTGAGGCAGAGGAGGGAGCTCGGCTGCTTTCTGGAGACTTGGCTCTGGATATCGTTGTGATGGTGACTGGAGACTTGGCTCTTTCAGGGCCCTGAGGTCCAGTGGTGGATTTTCTCTTGTGGGCAGGAGCAGAGTAGGTGGGAATGATTGTGATTCTGGATTTAGGTTGAGATGGGTTGGGGCTGAGGGGAGCTGAGCTAGAGAAAACGTCCTCAGCAGTGGGGCTACTGATCTCAAGGGTCGCAATGTTGTTTCGGTGGTCTGGTGTTACTCGGATGTGTAAAGGCTGCCCTTGCTTTGGAGACATGGTCAATTCGGAAGGCAAATGATTTCCATTGATGTGCAGAGGCTTGTCCAAATTGGTCTCTTGAGGGGTGTTATCCTTTTTCCTCATCCAAGGAATCCAGGATTTCTTCATGCCTAGGTCGCTGGAAGATGAAGGGCAACGCTCAATAGTGCTATTCTTTTCTGTTGGCTTCTTCAGGCACTTTTGTCTGAGGTTGCTCATGATGTGATTTTCTTCTTGAACAGACTTCCTGATAAACACAGCTGGGGTGTCCTCCTCTGTTGGCCCAGTGGACGATGCCTCAGTCTGTACTCCGGTCGATGTCACAGCAACATCCACCATTCTCCTCCCATTCAAACTGGGCCTCAGCGCTCGACTATGACGCTTTGCTATTTCCAGTTCTTTGGTGAGATGGAAAACTTCAGTGCCCATGTTCTTGGCTCGCTCCTCCTCTTCCAAGAATCTCTGCTGCAGGATAGAGTAATCTACTTGGAGCTGAGAAAGTTGGTCTTCCTTGTGCATCAGTTCATGGATCTTTTCCTTGAGGGCTATGACATCAGCCTGCAGTTCCCTAGTTTTGACCTCCTCTCTCTTGCATCGTTGTCGGAGGTCTTCTTCCTGGCTTTCCTCCTCTCCTTTCTCAATTGCTTTGTTTCGTGCTATCTGACTCCTCATTTCCTCCACCTGTTGGGAAAGAATGATGGCTTTGTCTTGTTCAGTCATGAACTTTTTCTCCAACATGTCATACTGATCCTCTGTCTTGATCAAATCTCCCTCCACAACTTCAAGTTGTTTGAGGCGATTTTTCAGGCGCTCAATTTCAAATGTCAGCTCCTTGACTTTGTTATCTTCACTTTTAACAGGGTCAGACATTCTTCCCATTTCACATTTGACATTTGAATTCTTCATCGAAAGCTTTTCTGCTTGCTCAAACCCATCTAACCTCTTTTTCATTTGACTGACCTTAGAATTAAGATCATTTGTTTTATCAATTTCATAGGCAAGTTTAGTGCTTAGCTCCCCCTTCTCTATGGTTAGAGTCTCTACTTTGGTTTCCATCTCTGATTTGAACTTTAAGAGCTTTTTGCTTTCCTCTATTAATTTCTCAGTCACCTCCATAACTTTACCCTGCTCAACCTTGACCATCTTACTCAAATCCTCCTTTTTCTT